AAGTGCTCAGTACAGTGACATAACATTCAAGTAACACGCTCCAATCAATGGTAACTATTGTTATGATTAATGTTTTTAATTAGTATTGCTGTATAAGGTCTCAAAACTACTTAGTGTTTGAGAAAGGATCTGAACCCACATCAGTCACACACATTGACCATGGCTAGGATAATAGTGATAATGTCATATGGTCTAATTCTAATTCAACAGTTAAAAACATAAACATGAGTTGCAGCTCACAACAGTGCAACAACAAAAAAAAAAGAGAATCATTGTGATCTCAGTGGACAGAAAAATTAGTTGAGAGACTGTAGCTCATTTCTCACACATACACACACACAAAAAAATGAAGATTGTGCATGGATTGGAGAGGATGGATTGAACAGATCTGAGGGTGATTGCAATGCAAAAGAGTAAGTTGGGAGCCCTAGCCGGTTTGCTTAGTGTATAGAGCATTGGCCTGTGGACTAAAGGGTCCCAAATACGATTCTGGCCAGTGCACATGCCTGGGCTGCTGGCTCAGTCCCCAGTAGAGGGTATGCAGGAGACAATCAATCAATGACTCTCTCTCTCATCACTGATGTTTCTATCTCTCTCTCCTTCTCCCTTCCTTTCTGAAATCAATAATTTTTTTTTAAAGAGTAGCTTGGGGGAACTTTAGTGCCTCTCCCTAATAGTATCCATTAGTTCTCCTGTATTCTTTGAAATGAAACAGTTACATCCTTTCAATGTAAGAAAATGCAATGAAATACAGCTTCAAGTACCCACTAGCAACCATATTGCTAGTCCTTTGTCTTCATATGTAGACCACCTGATGCTCTCATTTTTGACATTTCAAAAGTAAAATCAATAATAATTTAATTAATATTTGCATGTAGGGGGTGAAAGGGAAGAGAAGAACATGTGTATATGTTTGTGTGTGGGAGGAAAGCAATGCTAAGTAGATGATTTGCTAGAATTTAATGTCATTTTGTAACAAATAAAGCATAGAAGAGAGAGAGAAGTTGGAATGGGGGAAGGAATACCCTGGGTATGGCTCATATTGAGATTGAGTTATCTGAGGGATTATGATTGAAGCTGTCCCTCAGGACGAGATAAAGTTTTATTCACTGGCACTAAGAAGAGAGCTCTGATTTGTTCTCCAAATTGGTTCCAGTCATTTTCCTAAATTGTTGATGTGATTTCACTCTAGTTCCAAAATTTGTTACTGCCTTCAAGTTTGAAACTTTGCCACAGCTTTAAAAATTCTATCAATTTTTGAAATATAGAACTCAGGAAAGGCCACAATTAGACTTCAAATTTGCAAGTCATTTGGATATAAATACTATTTAATACCATGGGAATAACTAAGATATCCCAAGGAGAGTATATTATCTGGGATAGCAAGAAAAAAACAAAAAGATAGAGAGACTTCACAAAAAGAAGCACACACACAAAAAAAAGCCCAGATAGTGTAGGTCACTAGGTCATGTAAGCATCAACCCATGAACCATGAGGTTGAAGTTTGATTCCCAGTCAGAGTTCATGGCTCAGTTGGGTTACAGACTCAGTCCCACAGTAAGGAGACTGCAAGAAGCAGCCAATGAATAATTCTCTCTCACCATTGATGTTTCTATCTCGCTGAAATAAATAAAAACTTTTTTTTTTAAAAAACAGACTTTTAAGGAATACCACAATTAAAAGATTGATTGGTAAATCGGAGTAGTGGGGAGTCCACAGCATAACTATCTGGAAGGTAATTAAGGAGAAAGTTTCAAAGAGGAGGGGGCAACATGGAAGAAATTTGAGAAGAGGGGGAGGGAAACAAATCTGATAATAAATTTTTGGGTTTGTTGTTTAGAAAGTCATTGATGGCATTAGTTGGAATACTTTCTGTGAGTGGTTGCAGAAGATTTTCAGATTGTCACTGAAGTTGAAGCAGATTGTCCAAAGAACATTTTTTGTCATAAAATATATAGCAGAGAATGGGGGGGAGAAACAGGATTTGTCTTACTGCCCTCACTAGCTAAGCACAATGGCCAATTATGAGGTATGGTCAATATATCTTGGGTAAATTGAGTGTGTGTTGAAAATATCTATAGAAAAATGTAGGGGGGGGGGGGGTAAAACTTGAATATTGTAGAACTCCAAATGAGAGCCCATGTTGCAAAATAAGATACTTAACTGGAAAGGAATTTTGTTGGAGTTAAAGCAGAAGAAATGAGAATGATTTGTTTACTTATTCATAAAATATTTAGAAATGCCTGGCTCTTGATGCTCTGCAACTAAAAATCTAAGTTCCTTATGCCTCCCTTGGAATGCAAGAGTTCCATGTCCTTGCCCCCACCAATTCCTTTAGCTTTGCATGTGAGGCTCCAGCATAGTGATTTTTTTGTATCTTGTTATTTCACTCAGCCCCTGCTTATGCCTTTATGTCAAAAACACTGTTTCCTGTTTTTCATCCTTGTGAACTCACTTCTGCTCATCAGAACTTTACACAGTTATATTTTATCTACTCTTGTTAAGATTTCTTGGAACTAATAATTCTTGACACACACACACATTCTTATATACACACACTATCTGTCACCCCACACTATTTCTGTCTTATCATAAATAAAGAGGTAATATGCAAATTAACCTTCACGCCCTCACAAGATGGCTGTGTACGACCAAACCGGCAGGGGGGTTAGTGAGGAAAGACCAAACAACTGAACAGCAGGCTGTGTGGGATGACTAGGCCAGTGGGGAGGCCATAAGGGGCATCCAGGCAGGCAGGGGGAGCAGCTGGGGGCAACCAGGTTGGCAGGGGAGTCAGTGAGAGGCAACTAGGCTGGCAAAGGGGGCAGTTCAGGGCAACCAGGCCGGCAGGGGAAGCAGTTAGGAGTGACCAGGCAGGCAGGCAGGCAGGTGAGAGAATAGGAGCCAGCAGTCCAGGAATGTGAGAGGGATGTCTGGGATCGAGCCCAAACCAGCAGTCAGACATCCCCAGAGGGGTCCCGGATGGGAGAGGGTGCAGACTGGCTAAGGGAACTCCTGTGCATGAACTTTGTGCACCTGGCCTCTAGTTGCTTAGAAGTATCTTATCGTTGTGCACTCTACAAGTAGCAGTAGAGTTACATATTCTCTGATATGTAAATAATGCAGTGCCTAGCATTTAGTAGGTATTCAATATTGGAACTTTTTCATTTCTTATTTTCAAAAGAATTACTGGTCTCTTATTAAAAATAAGGTTTTCAGCTTTAAAAAGATGAGATTCTGCTCATCTTATGTGGCTCATTGGTTAGGCATCAACTTATGAGCCAAAAGATGAGGTCCTGGCAAAATTTCTGGTTTTCTCAGACACCAAACCACTGTTACTTTACTTGCTTCATATGCTTAATGCTGACATTAAGTCTTAATACAGTGTGTGCTCTCAGTTTGATACTAAAACTAACTAGTGTTTATGAGGGGTGATCAAGAGCTTGAGTGGAATTACTGGCTATGAAATGGAATAAGATATCCCCTGTGTTGGAGTCCAGCATGAATAAGGAGCAAGTGCAGGAAGATGTAGAAGGAGGGGGGAAAGGATTTGGAGGAGCTCCCTTGTGCCAGACTCAGCACAGATCATTTCAACCTAAACTCTGTTTTTCCTCTGATATCCAAGCCAGAAAAGAAAGGGAAGACACTGATAAGAAAAATGCAAATAAGCAATGAAGAAATTGCTTGAGTTAATGAAATAATGTAAGGGGAGCTATAAAGAAGCTAGGATGAATGAGAAATTTCAGATAGCAATTGATAATTTTAAAATAAAACTGATCTCATAAAATTTCCTAGAACTCATTGAGTAAAATTATAACTCAGTCATTGCATATTAACATAATCACACCAACCTGGGTCAAAATTTCCCAATTTTCAATCTAATATTTCTTTAGGTAATCCTGGAGGTAGCACTTTATTTGGGAAAACTTGTGTGTCTTGGAAATTCTTAGGTTCCCGCAAGGAACAATTACTTCTCACTGATCGAGCCCTCTTCAGCCACAACCCTAAATTCTGCTCTATCCAGACCCCCCTCTTCCAACTCATACAAACCCATATGCCTAATTTGAACTTTCTACTCAATGAAAAAAGAAACAAGATGTTTTCCATAAAGTTTTATCTTTTCCTCCAAAGCAAAACAGTGTACTAGGTATCTCTTGAAAAGAATGTCTTAACAAAATGGAGAATATCTGTTGTGGAGAACAACTAGTCTTCAGGCAAATTGAAGAAACAAATATAGCTGAACATGGCAGCTCAAAATGTCCCTGTGGTGGTAGGTCTGTGCTCTAACTCTCCATCCCATTCAAATGTGATGCCAGGTGCTGCATTCTAAGGGTCACTGCAAAGGTTAGACACTGTAGACACACTGCGCTGGTGCCTAAGCCATTTATTATCATTTGATATGTGTTCCATGTATTATAAATATCGCTCCTATTTTCTGGCTTCCCAAATCGTCCTAAGAGTCTCTGCATTCTATACTTATGGCTGAAATAATACTGCTGCTCTAAAGTCCCAATCTATGTTTCTCTTATGTCAACTATACAGGAAACTCAACCTGCTACCTCTTTATCACAATTTAAACATTGCAAAAAGAATGAAATATGATTTTCCAGTCTTGGGTAAAATGTCTTTATTTAGTCCAGACATCTCTGACAAGAGGAATGAATGAAAAGGTCACATAGTATAAACATAGCTACAAGCAAAGGGCCCCCAGGGAAGAAAAATTGTGGCCTGAGATAAATACAAAAAATAAGAAATACAAAAATTTTAAATCGTACTTACTACAGCAGCTGGAAACTTACAATTCTTTTATCAATTTAAATGAGCTATTCATATTTATGTAGTATACAGATATTCATCTTGGGTTTGTTTGGGATTCAATAAAATTATAGGTTTTATTTTTAAATTGTAGTTAAATTAATTGTAGTCTAGATTAATTTTTTAAATGTAGTCTTTTCATTGTTCTAGAATTTCACCTTGGAATTCTGTACTTATAATTCAGCATGTCCAACTTGCAGAATACCACATCCTCTTCCATCATTTTCCTGCTAACTGGTGTTCCTGGGCTGGAAGCCTTCCACATCTGGATCTCCATCCCCTTCTGCTTTCTCTATATAACAGCCCTCTCGGGAAACAGCCTGATTCTCTTTGCCATTGTCACTCAGCCCAGCCTCCACGAACCCATGTATTATTTCCTCTCCATGCTGTCCACCACTGACCTCGGCTTGTCCATATCCACCCTAGTCACCATGTTGGGTATATTCTGGTTCAATGCCCGGAAGATCAGCTTTAACGCCTGCTTGTCACAAATGTTCTTTATTAAACTCTTCACAGTCATGGAATCCTCAGTGCTGTTGGCCATGGCCTTTGATCGCTTTGTAGCCATCTCTCATCCTCTCAAGTATGCAACCACCTTAACTGACTCCAGAATAGCTCAAATTGGAGTAGCAATTGTCATCAGGGGGACACTGACGCTGACACCAATGGTAGCCCTTCTGAAAAGACTGTCCTACTGCCGCAGCCTCGTGCTCCACCACTCCTATTGCTTCCACCCTGATGTGATGAAGCTCTCCTGCACAGACACCAAGATCAACAATGTGGTGGGGTTGACAGCCATGATCTCTACTGTTGGGGTAGACTCAATCCTCATCCTCCTTTCTTATGTTTTGATCATTAAGACTGTCCTCAGCATTGCATCCCCAGAAGAGAGAAAGAAAGCTTTCAGTACATGCATCTCCCATATTGGGGCTGTTGCTATTTTCTATATTCCATTGATCAGTCTATCCTTTGTTCACAGATTTGGAAAACAGGCTCCACCATATGTACATACTATGATTGCTAACACCTACCTGCTGATCCCACCTGTGATGAACCCCATCATCTACAGTGTGAAGACCAAACAGATACGTAGAGCTGTGATAAAAATTCTCCATTCCAAAGATATATAGACTCAGAATTCTAGCCACTCTACATCAAGTCATGTTATTAAAAAATAGAACTAGTGCTCAATAAAACTGAGCAAAAATTTACAGATTGGGTAATATGTAGAATATCAGCTAGCTTGACTCCTTTATTTTACAAATGTGAATACACAGACATAAGAATGTGAGAGACACCTGCTGGCATAGCTCAATGGTTGATCATTGAATTTACAAAATTATGATTCCCTGTCAGGGCACATGCCTGGGTTGTGGGCTTGTTCCCCAGTATGGGGCATGCAGGAGGCAGCCAATCAATGATTCTCTCTCATCACTGATGTTTATATCTCTATCTCCTTCTCTTTTCCTCTCTAAAATCAATAAAAGTATATTTTTTAAAAAATTATTTAAATAGAATAAAAGGAACAAACAGCCTAAAGCCCTAAGTCTAGAATTTCTTCTTCCCATCGCCTTTCATTCTAGACTATTGTTAACCCTGCCAAAAATCCTTTTTACTTAATCTACTTCATAGCAGTTAGAACAACACACTATGAAAAAATTCACTCCTTTATGAAAATTAGGGAGTACTTCCTAACTGTAATAATAATTTTAACTAACATTTATTTCCTTTGACCAGTCATAGCTCTAGGTGTGTTTTTTACATATATTAACACATTTTTAAAGGTTTTTTAAAATATTTTTTATCGAGTTTTTACAGAGAGGAAGAGAAAGGGATAGAGAGTTAGAAACATCTATGAGAGAGAAACATTTATCAGTTGCCTCCTGCACACCCCCTAATGGGGATGTACCCACAACCAAGGTACATGCTCTTGACCGGAATCGAATCTGGGACCTTTCAGTCCTCAGGTAGATGCTCTATCCACTGAGCCAATCCATCATCATCTTGGACCTGAAATATAATAGCCTCCTGATGGATCTTTCTTTATCCACTTTTGCTTTACAGTCTAGACAAGACAAATACACAAGACAAATCATGTCACTTCCTCTGTTTAACATGTTCCAGTGGTCTCCTCTCTTACCCAGGGAATATTCACAGTCATTATATGTTACATCTGACTCCTCTCTATCATCTCAACTGCTCCAGCAACTCCACGCTTTATACACTCTCCTACACCCACACTAGCCTCCAATATTTCCTTAAACTCACCAAACATGCTTCAACATGAGACTTCACACTTGCTGTTCTTTCTACCTAAAATATTCTTCCCCCAGTATCCACATGATTTACTGTCTCACTTCATGCAAGTTTCTGCTTACTGTCTCACTTCATGCAGGTTTCTGCTTAAGTGTCATCTTTTTACAGGGCTCTTGACATAAAAATAACAATACCATCTCTCCCTCAATTCCCGTCTGCATTTACTCTCATCTCTACTCATCTTGTTTTTAGTTTCTAGCACTTTCATTCCTCAACATACTACATATCTGTTTATTTCTTCTCTTGTTTCCCATTACAAGGTAAGATCACTGAGTATAAGGCCTTTGCTTCATTTATGGTGTCTTCCAGACCCTGAAACAAGGCCTACCACATAGTAAAAATAATAAAATCTCTGATGACATGGCTTTATTTTCCTCTCAAGCTTTATTACTTCCCCAGTATGTGGTACTCCAGGTACAACAAACAACTTGCATTTCCTTAACCCTGATTGCTCTATCTCACTTCATTCCTTTGACAAGTCCTTACCTTCACCTGTGTCACCTTCACCCTCCCTCCCTTCTCCTGACTTAAAAGTGACTATCCCTCAGAGGTTTTTTCCTGACTGCTCAAGTCTGGCTGGTGTCCTTTCCAGGTGCTCCTACAGTACCTGTGCTTTTTTTTCTCGTGCACAACTTCTCTCTTCAGAATCTACTGCAACCAGCCCACTTCTGGGCCCACTTCTCAAGACCAAGGGCAATATTTTACTCACTGTTGGAAACTGGTGAAAAAGTTCAGATGATGTGGAAACAAACAAAGTGGGTGTGTGTTTGTTTCAACACAACACATAAGATGGGATATGGAGAGAAGAAGAGGAGAAAGAAAAAGAGTGACGTAGACTAGAGAAAAAGGTTGGGGCTACTCAGAGTCTTACAAATGGGGAAGAGAAGGAACTTCAGTCTCAAGATCCAGATGGCCAAGATGCTCACACTACTTCTCAGATATCTCCCCAACCTCACCCCCACACACTAACGTGTGAACAGCCTCACTGCCTAACAATTTTGGAAACTTAAAAGCTTTCATCCGTAGGGACACATCAGGGTTATAGAGACACATCAGGAATGGGTGGTATGCAAAGCAAATGTGCAATGACTACGGTGGACACGCTCACATTGAATTGGAGCCAGTTGTTTAAGGGAGAAAAATAAAAGACACATGACCACTGTTGTAGCTACCGAACTCAGAGCACAAGTGAAAACCCTTAAATGTCCCAAAGGGCCTATGTGACTCAACTCCCCATCACCTCTGTGCTTTCAACTCCCTACTATTCTGCCCCTTGTCTATCTACACAGGCACCCTGACTCCCTTGTTGTCCCAAATATCAGATACACCCCTTTCTCAGGAACTTTATTTCTAGTTTCTCAGTCTTCTTCCTGAAATGGTCTCTCTCAAATATCTCCACAGACAGATTCCTCACTCCCTTCAGGCTTCTCTTCAAATATTTCTGTGATGTGAGCCCTTCCCTGGCAGCTTCACTGAAAATGTCAATTGCCCCCCGATATTTATCTGCTCCCACATTCCCTTTATTTTCCTTCTTAAACTATTTAACATGCTCTTTGTTTTTTTCCTATTAGCTCCATGTATTGTATGTCCCTCTACATGAGGATTCGAGTGGGGGGAGGGAAGGAAAGGGTGTTTCTGGAGGCTGTCTATTTTTCTTTTTACATTGAAGCCCTTGATAAATATGTGTTGACTATGAATGAATAAAGAGTCAGATAATCTGGTTATCCAACTGATATTATTACTAATGAACTATGTGACATAATGCAAAGAGCTTTTGTCTCATCTCATCTTTATCTGTGACACAGGTGCAATAAAGAGTGATTTCCCTACATCAAGGTCTGTTTCATCAACTGAAAGAAAAGATGGGAAAAGAAAAGCTGAAGAAGTGAATGCCCTTATTTTGAAGGATGGGACTGCGCATTTTTTGGGCCTACCTTGGTATTTAAAGAGACTATGAACTCCTAGAGCCCAAGGACAGAACTAGTAAATGCACACTGACTGCTGTGTTTGGCAAAGAGGCTAATGAGGAAGAGCAGTGACTGTGGCTGACTGAGGGAGTCTGAGTTACCTGGAAGAGTGGAGACAGATTGGCGAGACCCCTGTATCTGTAAGTGTGGGAGTGATGGCAGAGGCAGGGGCCCTTGTGATTTTCCCTCCCTCCAGACAGAAACAGTGGGAAACATGTGGGAGTGGCACACAAAAGGACAGGGAGATATTTTCCCTGTCTGCCAGGCCCCTGGGGCCCCAGCCCATGCTCCCACAGCCTGTTCCCATGGGCCTCCTGGGCAACATTATAAATAGGCCTGTGCCTGAAAGGGCAAGCCAGCTCCAGCTGTTTTCTCTGCACCGTTTTTCAAGTGAGTGCAACCTCATCTGGGTTAGGCAGCCCAAATCCTGCATCCTAAGAGACCTTGAAGACCCCTCACACTGCCTCTTAGCAGGGCAGGGAAAGCCCTCGCATGCCACCTACACTTCCATGGGCCAAGAAGGAATGTCTCAGAGCACTAGCAAGTGAGTATAAATGCAACAGCCACATTTGGGCCCAAAGATAATCAGAAATTGGGTCTAGCCAGGGGTCACCTTAGGCAAAAGGCAAGACAACCTGGGAGGGAGACATGAGGTCTTCTGGGATAGCTAACTAGGGAAACAATATGATGGCCCAGTCTTAGACTGCTGCCAGCAAAGCAGAAATGTTGTCCTGCGGAATGATGGATCAGGACAGTGGCTGACTGTGGCCATCAGAGACCCTTATATCTATCTATAAGTGCTACATGCAGTGGGACTGGTAGGAGGTTTTGAAAAGGAAGAAATATGTTGCTGTGCTCCTCTCGCTTACTTCCATGCCTACCCTTTTCGGCACCTGGGCCCCATTTCTCTTGCACACAGAGGTCCAGTGACATGGCCTCCCTCCAAGGAAGTTACCTGAACATTACCACATACTTATCAGCCTGATTTGTTTGGATTTCTCAATCTCCTTTCCCCAAGTTACCTATGTCAGATACATAGATGGTGGACAGATGCAAGATATAAGCTTTCTTTGATCTCACTGAGGGATGCAATTATCTGCCTCTGAAAGGGGCTTTTTATTATTACCTGACAGCAGCTAAGGTCCAAAGTGATTTCCACCGGGACCGGTTTGGCTCAGTGGATAGAGCGTTGGCCTGCGGACTGAAAGGTCCCGGGTTTGATTCCGGGCAAGGGCATGTACCTTGGTTGCGGGCACATCCCCAGTGGGGGGAGTGCAAGAGGCAGCTGATCGATGATTCTTTCTCATCGATGTTTCTAACTCTCTATCCCTCTCTCTTCCTCTCTGTGAAAAATCAATAAAAAACATATTTTTTTTAAAAAGTGATTTCCATACATCAAGGTCTGTTTCATCAACTGAAAGAAAGATGGGAAAAGAAAAGCTGAAGAAGTGAATGTCTTTATTTTGAATAATGGGACTGCGCATTTTGGGGCCATTTTTGCTTGTCATGGAGGGTAGTTGTTGTGTCATTGTACATGTTCTGAGGATACAGAAGAGCAAATAGCAGTCAGAGGTGTGGATTTTATCATCTTTAATCCCTGGATTTGTTACTACTAGTTTTTCTCAATGGGGATAATCCAAGTCAAATCTTTTAGTTCTCATCTTATCATATTTATGAAAGACTGCTGGTTTCCAAACTACTATCTCCACTAAGGCCAAATAAAAGAGCATCTCCCACTTGCAGTTGAGGACTGAGGTTAGGAGTGAAGAAGAATCTTGGCAAGATGAACAGTTAACTGAACACAATTGAGGAAGACTCCTGCAGAGTTTATTCCCAAGATTCAGAGATTCTTATTGAAGCCATGTCCTTAGCTCCTGAGAGACAATTAGCTCTAAAAGCCAGGACATGGGGAGCCTAGCAGGGAAACATTTAATGAAATCACAGCACATGTGTTTAGGGTTGAAGAGGTTGTGGGCAGAACAACACACGGTTTCTAAAATGGATATGTCTGCCAATGCTGGTTTGGCTCAGAGGATAGAGCGTCAGTCTGCGGACTGAGGGGTCCCAGGTTCCATTCTGGTCAAAGGCATGTACCTTGGTTGCAGGTACATCCCCAGTGGGGGTATGAGGGAGGCAGCTGGTCAATGTTTCTCTCTCATCAATGTTTCTGGCTCTCTGTTCCTCTCCCTTCCTCTCTGTAAAAAAAAAATCAATAAAATATATTTAAAAAAGAAAAAAGAAATGTCTGCCCTATCAATGCCTTGTTGGCCAATGTTCCAGGTAAGACAAAGCTCTAGGAATATCTGGACTCGGCCCAAGTTCTTGGGGCAATAAGAGTGGCCTTGTAGGCAGCTTTCAGATGTGTAGGAACCCATCAGCAAGGAGAAGAAGAGCCTTCACAGGGAACATGCCAGACACTAAGGTCTGCTGGAGGCCCCCACTGCCAGCACTTTTATCTCCGGAGAAGTCAGTGGAGGGAGCTCCTGCCTTTCATTTAATTACCCTCAGATTTCCCTTCTTTTTCTTAATAGATTGACTTTTGGACCTTTTGCTTCATATTCTTTTTTTCTTTTAATTTTTTTAAAAAAGATACTATTGTGTTTCTTTCTCCCCACCCTGACCTTAGACCTGGGGACATGGAATCCTGAAAAATTAAGCAAAATAAAACAAAACAAAAACTCCCTATCCTCAATATACCCTTTATTCCCTTCTCTGTTTGATTTGTACTTATGTTTCAAAAATGACAGAAGGATCATCTTTTTCAGGAATATGATTATGCTTCTCCTCTTCCCATGCATTAAATGCACACCTTATGCTAGCACATCCCCAAACTCTAATAATTTGGTTACTTATCCCCTTTTCACTCTAAGCAGGGTATCTGAAGAGCAAAAGGTATCTATCTTTCACCTCTGTATCAACAGCATCTAACAAATAACTTTATATATAGTATGTCATGTAAGTCAGAGTTTATGGGATGAATGAAAAATTGAAGAAAAGAGGGAGACAGGAGAGGAAAAGGAAGAGGGGAGGAGAGAGGAAGAGAGGGGAAAAAGGAGGGAAGTGGAGGGACAGAGGACACAGCCATATCTGGAAGGAGTTCCCAAAAGGGTATCTCTTAATACCTATCTGAGAAAAGGATCACCCAGTGTCAGATATAGGCCAGGAAAAGGAGTGTAGGGGAACTTGAGGAAGATATATTTTGGGATAAGCATGTTCTTTCCAAGTTTCCTTTTAAAAGTATAAATGGACCTTGAGAATAGTGACAGTACATGAATTTGAGCTGTCACTTTTCTCTTTGGAGAAGGCTTCATAGCTTATGAAAGAGCCTAAAAGGCCTAGATGAGGAGGAGAATAAAGGCAGGAGGGCTGAGGAGCATCAGTCCCCAGGTTTCCAGGGCTGACCTCTCTGACTGTGCTCCATCTCCTACCAGGCTGCCAATGTGACCTGACCCTCTCCAGTGCCCTCTTCTCCGTGCCAGCTATGAGTTCCTGCAACTTCACACACACCACCTTCGTGCTTATTGGTTTCCCCGGACTAGAAGAAGTCCATTTCTGGATGGGCTTCCCTCTGCTTTCAATGTATGCTGTGGCTGTGTTTGGAAACTGCATCGTGGTCTTCATCGTAAAGACGGAACGCAGCCTGCATGCTCCCATGTACCTCTTCCTCTGCATGCTGGCAGCCATTGACCTGGCCTTGTCCACATCCACCATGCCCAAGATCCTCGCCCTCTTCTGGTTTGATTCCAGGGAGATTACCTTTGATGCCTGCATTGCCCAGATGTTCTTCATTCATGCTCTCTCAGCCATTGAGTCCACCATTCTGCTGGCCATGGCCTTTGACCGTTATGTAGCCATCTGCCACCCATTGCGCCATGCTGCAGTGCTCAACAACACAGTAACAGCCCAAATTTGTGTGGTGGCCGTGGTCCGTGGATCCCTCTTCTTTATCCCACTGCCTCTGCTCATCAAACGACTGGCCTTCTGCGAATCCAATGTGCTCTCGCACTCCTATTGTGTACACCAGGATGTGATGAAGTTGGCCCAAACAGACATATTGCCCAATATGGTTTATGGTCTGACTGCCATTCTGCTGATTATGGGCGTGGACGTCCTGTTCATCTCCTTGTCCTATTTTCTGATTATACGAACAGTTCTGCAACTGCCTTCCAAGTCAGAGCGGGCCAAGGCCTTTGGAAACTGTGTGTCACACATCAGTGTGGTATTGGCCTTCTATGTGCCTCTCATTGGCCTCTCAGTGGTACATCGCTTTGGAAAAACCCTTCCTCCCATTGTGCATGTTCTCATGGGTGATGTCTACCTACTTCTGCCTCCTGTGATCAATCCTATTATCTATGCTGCCAAAACCAAACAGATCAGAACTCGAGTTCTAGCTATGTTCAAGATCAGCTGTGACAAGGACCCTCTGGCGGTGTGAAGCAGGTGACCTTTATGACTCCATTTTCCCTTATCCTTAAGGGCTTGATCATGACTGACTGATGCTAGCCGATAAGCATACCAATGCTTTTCTCCAATTTGATTTCCAAATTCTGTCTCAGTTCAGAGTGAAATCTGGGGAGATGCCGTAATTCCCTTCCATAGGTCAAAAAGTTATTTATATCTTCACTATATAAAAAATGTAAGTAAAAAATCCACCAGTGCTCCAATAACTAGTGGTATTAAAAAGAAAACATAAAGAAGAGTGACAAAAATACAGTTGGTTTTGAAACAAGGGACAAATTATTCTATCTAATAGTAATCCAAAGTAGCATTTTTGTCTATCAAATTGGCAATTTTTAATAGTGAGAATTTACAATAAAAAAAGATTATATTAAAACATATATGTGTCCCAAAAAATGTATACACACTTTAACAGCTGATAACTCACTTAATTTTCACTCCTTTTCATTTTTAACGGATTTGAAATAATGAATGAAGCCAGTCGAGGCTATGAACAAAGAAACTTTATCCTAAAGTACCACTAGACAAAATATAAAGTCTATGGTACGAAACCAGCAACAGTCAATGAATTGAGGGCACACAAAGACCGAACAAAATGATTCTTGATGTTTGTGATTCCATTGCTTTGTGTTATTAGCAGTTCCTGGACTAGAATGATCATCAATTTGAAAACAGGCATTGACAAAAAAAAATTATTCATTTCTGTAGATTCTTTTAAATTTTGAAAATGAACTGTATGTTAATAAACATTAGCTTTATAATCATTTAAAGTGTGTATACATTTTGGAGACACCCTGTATATTCTTAAATATCACAGTTGATGATATAATTGGCAGTATGAAATAAGAACTTTTTAAAAGTTGTATGCTTTGATGCTGAAATCATACTTTTGAAAATGCATCTTAACAAAATATCTTTAAGTGCAGAAAATGGGTTTTTCAAAACAGATATTAATTACACCACTATTTACAGTAATCATATACTAGAAATCTCCCATAATGTGTAAAAGTAAGGAAGAGTAAACTCAAGTATGGTCCATTTACTTAATGGAATATTATGTGGAATAACTCATATTAAAAAATATTATATTGCCTTTAAAGACTCTGCTATAAAAAAAATGCTATAATTTAAGAAAAACAATAGACACATAATTGAAACTAACTTGAAAAATAAACCATGTCTTGAAGGAAATGTGCTCAAATCATTAGTGACTTATTTTTGTTCCTAATTTCTAAATTTATTTATTATGGAGGTCATGTTTAGCTGGCATGTGTAACTTTTTAATGGGGAAATAAAACAGATAACTTATATAAACCAGGGCTTAGCACATTATCTGGGAATTTATCTAAGCCCTAAATAATAATGTCAATGAACATATCTTGAGTGCTTACAATGATCCAAGCGTTGTAATGAGTGTTTTATGGATTTTATCTGATCTCCACAACAACTTTATGAGGTAAGTATATTTTTGTCCCCTATTATAAGTGAGAGAAATGAGGCTTACGTTAACAAGACAACTCATACAATTTGTGTGTGCTATCCCAAGATTTGAAATTACATTTGATGATCAAATATCGTTACTTAATTTCCATGTTATATTGCTTCCTGTTTAACATCTGCCATTGATTTCCTCAGCCTGTGCAAATTCTCTGTTCCTCTCTGCTGTGTGCTTAATGAGATGAATGACTATGTGTGTTGAGAGTTAACCCTGCCCTTGTAGTGGGCAACAAATTCAGATTACTTTTCATGTTTGACAACCGCCTTTCATATTCTACATCCTGCTTCTTTCCAGATAAAGGGAGAATAACATTTTTTGTCTACCTCTTGCACCTTCTCAATCATGTCTCTCTCCGCCCCCCCCCCTTTTTTTTTTTAGTGTATTTTGTATCTGTCAAACAGTTCAAGTGTCTAAGTTTTAACTTAACTAACATGAGAAGGCTAAAAGACAAATTCCAATGTAACCCTGATGTTTGGGGGGCTAGCAATCTGAATCTGTACCCGTAACCTAATGTACATTCTTGAGAGCTTATTATTAACTCACTGCCCCTTTCCTCCACAATCTGATCTTGCAAGACCTGGTACCTAAATGCTCACATTTTACAGATGCCATAAACCATGAACCTCCAGAGGGGGTTATCAGCGCTGGCGCCAGGCCAGGGCCTTAGATATGATCTCAAGACCCCATCCCAACCCACGGAGCTTTTTGCAAAGCCCACTAAAGAAGTCCTATCCCACATATGGGGGAACAAAAGAAACCAAAGGGGTATAAAGGAAGGGCTTCCACCATATTGGTTTGCTCAAACTCTGGATGCAACTCCTCTGAGATCACCATCGTAATAAAGCTGTGTAACTTCATTTCTTTCAGTGTAGCTTGGGTTTCTCTAGTCTTCTACAATAAGATAAAATAAAATTTTATTTTAAATTTTGCTAACTGTTATGCCTATTGATTTTATAATTACATAATCCTATAAACTCAGATTTGAAGATACAAGAGGTTTTCTAGTCTTCTTTCCCACCAGTGCAGGAATCCTGATAGGTACCATTTGTAAAGATGCTAATGTATCTTTTCTCAGGATCTGATGAGAAGCTGAAATCTGACTGCAATCCTTGGGCCTATATGTTCCTTCAGTTGCTTCACTGAACAAACCTTGGGTGGGGGAGTTGGGTGGACAAACCATGTGGAGAGTCCAACCTGTGGGCTCTTGCTTAAGAAGAGGGAACCTCAGAGCATTCAACTGATTCCCTGCTCAGAGCAGTCAAGTCATGCAGCCAATCAATGCAGCTAGTTCAGGGAAAGAGAGAGAGGAAGCTGTAACTTCCCTAAAGAAACAAAGAGATGTCCATGCTTGGTGGAAATGGAGAGTCAGATTTTTGGCCTCACTCCAAATAACGAGGTCCCCACCACCTCCATCTGCTTCTGTCTTCCTGAGCATTACTATATCTCAGTTAAACCCTTCTGCCTACTTCCATAAGAGCATAGTCAAATATTATAGATAACTTAATAAAGTGGGTATCTCTTGCTCCCAAATTCCTCACTGTGTCCCACCACAGTCCAACATATATTCATATTCTATTTCTGTCTTTCCTACCCTTCCCACTGCCCTATGATTTTTATTTTTAAAAAGTCTAGTGAAGCCGAGACCAGTTTGGCTCAGGGGATAGAGCGTCGGCCTGCGAACTGAAAGGTCCCAGGTTCGATTCCAGTCAAGGGCATGTACCTTGATTGTGGGCACATCCTCAGTGGGGGGTGTGCAGGAGGCAGCTGATTGATGATTCTCTCTCATCGATGTTTCTCTCTATCCCCTCTCTTCCTCTTTGTAAAAAAAATCAATTAAAAAAATATATATATAAAAGCTAGTGAAGAGTTCTATGCCAATATTCATTGAAGCACTATTTACAATAGTCAAAAGGTGGAAATAACTCAAGTGTTCATCAACAACTCAACAGAAAAACAAAATGTGGTATATACATATAATGGAATATTGTTCATCCATAAAAAAGGAACAAAATTCTGATGAATGCTACAAAATGGATGAACTCTGAGAACATTATGCTAAGTGAAATAAGCTAGACACGAAAAGACAAATATTGTATGACTCCACTTATGTAAGGTATAGAAAATTGGCAAATTCATAGAGACAGAAAGCTGAATAGAGGTTATCAGGGGCTGAAGGGAGGAGAGGATGAGGAGTTACTATTTAATGGGTACAGAATTTTAGCTTGGGATCATGAAAAAGTTGTAGAAATGGATAGTGGTGATAGTTGCACAACGATGTGAATATACTTAACTCAACTTGGTTGTATATTTTAAAAAATTTAAATGATAAATTTTATGTTATATGTTTTACTACAATACTTACCAAAGAAAGAATATAAACTATTTCCTTATCAATGTTAAGTCAAGAACATGTTGAAATGATTGTATTTTGGATAAAGAAAATATATTATTTAAAGTTCTTTAATACAAGGCCTCAAGAGGATGATATTTAATGCATTCCAGGGAGACATAGCCCTGGAAAGGGATTTGTGAGCTCTGAGCTATTGTTTCTGTGAGTGACCTTTCTAGTTGATGTAATCTCTGAGCATTAAGAAGTCATGAGCTGCCGAAACCGGTTTGGCTCAGCGATAGAACGTCGGTCTGCGGACTGAAAGGTCCCAGGTTCGATTCCGGTCAGGGGCATGTATATTGGTTGCGGGCACATCCCCAGTGGGGGGTGTCCAGGAGGCAGCTGATCGATGATTCTCTGTCGTCGATGTTTCTAGCTCTCTATCCCTCTTTTCCTCTCTGTGAAAAATCAATAAAATATTTAAATAAAAAATAAAAAATAAAAAATTTAAAAAAGAAGCCATGAGCCTGTGAGGCTGAAGACCTTCAGGGACCCCTTCCCTGAGGCCACACCTGCTGTTTTCCCAAACATGGTACCAACTCAATCTGCTACTCCCTGAATTTACCACTTAAGGCTCTTTCCAAAAGCCAATCCTGCTCCCAAAGATTGGGGATTGTCTGCCCAGGAGGTATTCACAAGCTCTCTAAAATGAAGCCCAGCCGAGACCGGTTTGGCTCAATGGATAGAGCGTCAATGGATAGAGCGTCGGCTTGGGGACTGAAAGGTCCCGGGTTTGATTCCGGTCCAGGGCATGTACCTTGGTTGTGGGCACATCCCCAGTAGGGGGTGTGCAAGAGGCAGCTGATTGATGACTCTCTCTCATCGATGTTTCTAACTCTCTATCTCTCTCCCTTCCTCTCTGTACAAAATCAATAAAATATATATTTTTTTAAATAAAAAAATAAAAATAAAAGGAAGCCCAGTGCAACAGAAAGAGCAGACAGTTCTGTGCCTTATGAAGTCAATCTACCCTCTGTGAGGCTTGTTATCCTCTTCTGTTTGTTAGAGGTGATAACAGTACCATCAGTACTGCCTTGGCTCTCGAGCCACATGTGGCTCTTTGGGCGGCTCTTCCACAAAATACCACATG